GCTCTGCCATTATCCACACAGTCAGTGATAAAACTCTTCCTGTTTAAGCATGCTCAGAGGCAGACCAGACCACCCTGTGTTTCAGTCATCACCTTTGGCAGTGCCTGTCTCATTCCTAACAATAAGCATGATAAACCTGGGCCAAAAAGCGCTGAGAACCAGGAGACTCTGAGCCCTGTGCACTGAAGTCCCTCTGGTCTCACTTCTGGTCCTCACACCCACCTGCCCGGGCTGTGCCCGTCATGATCTGTTCCCAGGCTAGGGTAGAAGGTTGCTGGTGGTGATGCTCTCCCTCTTTCCTGGAAAGTCTTTCCATGCCAACTCGGTTTCCCTAGCCCAGAGGTGAGAGCTGATCCTCAAAAGGGTTTAGGCACTAAATAAACAACTCAGTTCAAGGTGTATTCTCGGCTCTGACTCAGCTGACTCAAACATTGATCTAGAACACTGAGAAGCTAAATAAAAATTAGTAAGAACAGATGTTATTTTGCTTGGTTTCTTTTACAGACCTACTCGACAGAAAACAGAAGGAGATTCTTTCCAAAGGAACCGGCTGTGACTACCAGATTCGTTCCATTAAATGCCCAAAGCATGACATTTACCGAACCATTACTGGAGTGTGCAACAACAGGTAAGATCTGTGTGTGGGCAAGGAGTCTCCAGTCTGTAACTGACCTAGGGTAGATGGCTTAGGGTCGTCTGTGTAAGTACCTTTCAACAGGGTAAGAAGAATTAAATGCTTATTTTAGTAGTGCCTAGAACAGATGCTTCATTTCTACATATGCCTGGCAAGAAAAAAAGATGTAATTTCTTGAAAATTTCAGATTTGAGCCCATTACCCTCCATATGCAGCTTTGGATGAAGGAGAAAGCTTCTTGAGTGGAGAAAGGTGAAAGTGTGAGGAAAGCAGATTTTGGGGCTATGACAGACAGCCTCCCATGCAGCTTGAGGCTCCAGGAAGTCATCCCTCCTGTCTTCAGTGGCATGGATAGTACTGATTTCCCAGGGCCTAGGAAGGCCCTGTGCTTTGAGCGTGATGAGGGCATTGCCTGTCAAATTTAAAACTTCAGTTGTCTTGGACTGACTACACACGTAATATTTTTAAAAACATAAGTTTCACAGGCACTGTGAATATATATATAGAATATGTTTATTATATCTCACTAAGAGTTATGGCATAGAGAACAAGATTTGGTGTCTGGTTCATATGAAGATATACATCTCTCAACATATCTGTGTGGGTACCCAAATACACACTGTGCTGTGATGCATAAGGAAGGGAAGCAAATAAGTTCAATTCTTGGCTCTTCTAGTAGCATCTACACTTGATGTGAAAAAAAATGAGTCCTTCAGCTTTTTGTGTCTAGCTTTCCTCCTGGTTCAAACCTGAGATCATACATCTATTTATTTCCTTGTTAGCTTTTTTTTTTTTGACCAGAAGATGGCAAAATGCCTAGCCTAATACTTGTAAGTCAAGGCTCACTGTCCTGTTCTACCACAGAGCCTGGCGTGCTGGCTCCAGCCCCCGAGTCTGAGCGAGACTCATGTCCGATGTGCATCTAGCATGAAACAGATGTGCCAGATGTGAAGAAAAAAATCTCCATTGCCCATGCAGGGGGCTCACTCTCAGGGTGTTACAGCCAGTCTGTACCTTCACCGACAGACCCCAGAGACGTCAGCTTCCCAAGGACAGCAGCGTCCAGTTTGACTTTTAGAATCAGGGTAGGGTCGTTCTTGGGCTTCCTAATCTAGTGGGTGGCCAGTGAGATAGCCAGGCACTCGGAAGTGAGGGGACTCTGTGGAATGTTAAGTATTTTCCAGGGATCCTGCTTGGGATACACACTGTGAGATAGCACCTGAATATTTTGCAAAAATCTGCCTGCGAGGACAATAAAAGCAATTGAAACAAGTGATGTGGTGGCCCTGGCCTCTTAATATTTAATGGAATTGCTTCAGTTGAGGTGTGGCAATTGTTCTAAGGCACACTCATATTTCACAGCAGACTGCTGTAAGGTCTGGGTATAACACACCTTTTTCAGTATAGGCAGCTTACCCAAGTTTTATGGATTTAAGAGCTTAAACACAGAAAGTTGCTCTGCACCCGCTGATATTCAGTAACTGGGTTTCCCAAAATAACCTGTGATTCTATGTCCCTAGGGCCACAGATCATTGGCTCAACCAGCGATATTGTTCTTCTGAACAAGTGTTGCTGAGTTTACTGATCCAAATTCTTCCAAGTGATATCAAATGGCCACAGCAGGAGACTGCATTTTGGGAGGTTCTGTGTTGGATATGGGGAAATGCTTGAGAGGCTGCAGCCTTGGCACAGGTTCCCACAAAGGGGAGGGATCTTCATCCTTGGAAGCTCCCAGTCCTTGGCTGGACAAAGGCAAGGCCACCCAGATCATTGGTGATGGCCCTGCTGTCAGACTGGTTTTGTATGGAGCAGCAGTGGAGACAGAGGTGCTACAGAGGTTTAAATGTCAAATAAAATTAAAATAAAGGCTTGAGGGATCTTTCTCGGTATCAAAAGAGTTATTTTTTCTCTGTACTGATAGTCTTGGTATTATTTACTTCTCAGTATTACCAGAGTAATTAGTCATGCATTAAAGGGCTGTAAAACATTAGTCGCTACAAGCCTGTTTGTTTCTGAAATAACACTGCTGTTGACTTTTCCTCTTGCTTCAGAAAGTGTTCTCATCTGGGGTCCTCAAACCGCGCGTTCGCCCGCTGGCTCCCTGCAGCATATGAAGACGGAGTCTCTGTTCCCAGAGGAGCGAGTGAAGGAAAGCTGTACCATGGGTTTCCACTCGCACTGGTGAGAGCCATTGTTCCTGTCCAGATAACAGCAGTGGTCACTGCCCTCACTGCATCCACCAGAAGTGAGACAGTGGCAACATCCAGAGTGTAAATTGCTTGACCCTTTCCTCTGATCTCATGTGCTAATTTGAGGCTGTGTTGTGCAGCTGAGCTATGTTTCTGTGGGAGATAAGCATGAGCAAAAAAGTTGTGGATACTTCACAAAGCAAAGCATGGACAATATAACAATTTCATAAGTGTGCATCCCAAGGTTTGATGCAGACAGGACCACAGTGTGCTCAGATACACCAGAGTGGTTATATAGGTGTTCCTCAGCCATTTGCACTCTGGATGTGTGCACATACTTTAGTTTCAGCAGTAAAAGGCTTCTGTGAAGCTAGGCTTGGCTGACAGGGGAGTCAAGAGGACTCTGCTTATCACATCTGTTCTGATAGAACTGGGCATGTCATGGGTCTGGTAGATGCCCTAATTAACTCTTATGAGTTTAACTAAGATCATCTTATGCATGGTCTCATAGGAAGTGTTCTGTTGAGAGGCAGACATAATCACATACATTTTAATTTTGATTTTCCGCAGGTTCGAAAAGTGTCACATGAAACTGCTTGCACGGCCAATGAGAACATCACTCAAGACTAAGAGCTCTCTCTTGTCTTCATGCAGTGGGGCCGATGGGTCAACCACAACATTGACTTAGCCCCTGCCAGTGGTGCAGGAGTGAGCCCAGAGCTTCACTGCGAGACCAATTGTGCCTTCAAGCCCCCTTGTTTCCCGATTAAGGTATCCTAAATTTCATTCCATCCCATGTTGTCCTAAGACAGTAAAAATAAACCCTCACAACTTCCTAAGGCACTGCTTATGTTTGTTTCCCCCCGATGATCCACGGATGCTGAGGTCAAACTCTTGCATGCCATTCATCCAGTCGGCATCTGTTTGCAATCCCAGGACGTTCACTCACGAGCAGATCAATGCCGTCAGCTCGTTCATCGATGCCAGCACAGTGTATGGCAGTGAAGACTCAGTGGCAAGGAGTCTTAGGAATCAGACAAACCAGCTGGGTTTGATGGCTGTGAACCAGAACTTTACTGATACGGGGTTGGAATTATTGCCCTTTGAAAACAAAACAAAAAGTGTTTGTGTCCTCACCAATGAGAGCATGAACATCCCCTGTTTTAAAGCAGGCAAGATGCATCTGTGGAGTAGTTTTCAGTGGCCCATAAAGTGAAAAAAGATCATTATGACCAGATGTCTGATGTTTCCTTCCATTTGTATGAGGTGCTGCAAGATGTGGCTGTATAAGGTGAAAGACAGGGCACCTTCCCACAAAATAAAAAATAATTGAACTATAATTGTTTCATTAAATATGAAAATTATTTTGTTTTAATTTCTTAAAAGAGATACAGCAAATAATCCTCCCTTTAAAAAGTCTTTTCAAAGGTAGGACAAATTTTCAATAGAATAACCAGCAGTGTTTAAAACTTCTCAGTGACGTTTTTTTCTCTCCTACCTAGACTTCACCATTCAGTTTTCAATTCAATAAATACTAACAATTAAATGTCCTTAATCAGTTTAGTTAACTCTCCCTGATACCACACTCTAAATTTTTAATGTTTCAAATATCCCATCCTACATCAGAAGGCAACTCTAGTAGTCTGTCTGAAATTAAAACAACCTGATGACTCAAAACACAGAACATTTTAAAATGGGAAGTGATCTATCATAGGCACAACATTAAAAAAAATATAAATGAGAAGCTTGCAAAGTCGATCATAAAATATAGAGTGTGTTCCCATTGCACATTATTTCATCATTCCCTGTGCACGAGAAGAGATCTTTACCAAGTGAGCAGGTGCTCAGTGTGCCTTCCATCAGCTGTTGGAGGGGCTCCACTGCATCCCCTCCAGTTTTCTCTCAGCATCTCTGCTGAGGGCATATTTACAGGTGTTTACAGCTTGGGTGAACTGACAGATTTTCAGAACCAAATATTCACAGTGCTGAGATAAAAGAAGTTTGCATCCTTGAGGTATGAAAGGAAGGTAGACATGAGATTTCCACAAAGTGAGACATTCACAGGTGCTTTACGACCGTGTGCAATGCAGTTTAAATTTCCCGAAGTCTCTTCTCCAATCGTTTTGGATAAATGGTTTGGACATAGAGAATGTTTTGTCTGTGCTGGTAAGACATATCTGGCATGAATAATAACTGCTAGGAAGTTTAACCATGAGCATTACTGCCAGTGACACTGTTGTTCCTTGTCTGTCCTACACAAAAACCTGCTGCTGAAATAAAAAGCAATTTACAGAAGTCCAAAAATGTTTTCATTTGTAGGTGACAGACGGGTAACTGAAAACCTGGGACTTTCTGCACACTGTCTTTCTATGGGAACACAACCGCCTGGTTAGAGAGCTGCGGAAATTAAATCCTCACTGGAATGGAGAAAAGCCTTACCAAGAGAGCCGGAAGATCACAGCTGCCATGAACCAGGTACTGATCACTGCTCACCATTTATCGCCTGTATGCTTAGAAATGGTTTTTCCTCTAGGAAAAGGAAGAAGATAATGCTTTACAGACCTAGTGGAGTTATCTGTGAGAGTGGAAAATTTGTGAATAAGGGTGGTCCATCTGAGACAGCACATGCACCCAAAACTTTTTTATCCATTATCTTACCAATTTGTCAATTATTTATAATAACTGATAGATTATAGATTATAGATTTTTATCAATTGTGTATTATATTAAATTATTTTACTATATGATGCCAAACTCATGCCATTTCTACAGCTCTTTTTTCTAAAGTTTTTGTGAACTCTCTCCCACTGGACCCAGAGTCTGTGTTCACACTTGCATGCTGACTTCAGTGGCATTTCTGTTACAGCTGCTGGCAACTTGCTCTGCTTCTGTGCTTTTTCAGATAATAACATACAGAGATTACCTCCCACTTCTGCTTGCGGGGGAGATAGCAAGTGGATCCCTTCGTACAGCGGCTACAATGAGAATGTGGATCCTACCGTCTCAAATGTTTTTTCCCTGGCTTTCCGATTCGGTCATACATCAGTGCAGCCTTTTGTGTCCCCTCTGGATGACAGTTTTCAGCCTTTGGGTTCACTTTCCCATGTCCCTCTTCATATGACCTTTTGTGCTACATGGAGAATTATAATGGAAGGTAAGAACTGGGGCAGCCAGCAGTCGTGGTGGAGGTCAGCTGGTAAGACACATGAGCCTAGACTCCAAAAACTGCTTTAGCTCCATTTATTTAACTGGCTTCTTACAAATTGCAGTGCCATTCAGCTTGGAAGGTGCTCATGATATGTCCACACAAGGAGCTGCAGACAAATCGGTGGTCTGCTAAATGTGGAGCAGCAGGACAGTCCTGCAGAACTGTCCCCAAACAGCCTGTCACTGATTCTGCATTGTACCCAGGCAAAGGACCCCTGCCAAAAATTACATGCTGTTGCAGTCTAACCACTGAGTCTTATCAAGCACCAGCTCCTGCAGAAGCAGCCACATTGGAGCAGGATTTTGCATCAGAACATTCAATTCTGTAACTTCTTCTGCACAGTTTTTCAGTGTTGTCCTCCTCAGTTCATTGCACGATAATTGCATTCATACTCTGAACAAGTCAGTAAATAACCAGAATATCACAGAATCACAGAACACAGAAGCACAGAACCACAGAATCACAGAACATTAAGGATTGGAAGGGACCTCAAAAGTTCATCCAGTCCAATCCCCCTGCCAGAGCAGGAACACCCAGATGAGGTTACACAGGAAGGCGTCCAGGCGGGTTTTGAATGTCTGCAGAGAAGGAGACTCCACAACCTCTCTGGGCAGCCTGGGCCAGTGCTCTGTCACCCTCACTGAGAAGAAGTTTCTTCTCAGATTTAAGTGGAACCTCCTGTGTTCCAGCTTGTGCCCATTACCCCTTGTCTTATCTTAATATGTAACAGATCAAACCCTCTTGCTGTACATCTGTCAGCTCAGCGAGGCCTGACGGTGTCAGCATTGTGCGTTCACTCAAACAGTGCAACCATTTGTGCCGTTCTGGGAGGCACGCGACAGACACACAGCGCCAAAATGTCACTCAAGAAGAATTTAGGTCTATCTAAGCTATTATAGCCCCCTGTAATTAGTCGGCATTGCTGGAGGCATCCCATCTAACTGAGCTGAGACAGAATAGTTGCTTCCTGGAGGTGGCCGTCTCTCGCCATGACTCCAAAGGGAGTTGTGGGATCCCGCTCTTACACAGCTGATCTCTGCAGAGATGAATCTTTCCAAGGAAGTCAAATATTAGATAACTATTATTGAAAACATAACAAAATACAGATGTACAGTCAGTTTTTCTGTGTTTTACTAATGTTGTTGTCTTAATGGCTATGGAAAAGACATAGACAAACAAACAGGAATTTATTCTATAATTGCATTTATCGTTTTAATAGATATTTGTCAATTAATAGCTAATTTTAAACAGAATCAATTGCAAAACCTAAATCGTGACCCCATGTATCAGTACATGCTGGGGACTGACAGGCTGAAGAGCAGCTCTGCAGAAAGGGACCTGGAGATCCTGGTGGACACAAGTGGATTTAAGGCTGCAGAAGGGAAGGCTGAGGGATGGGGATGGGGAGGGGTGGGGAATCTGGTTACTAAAGGGAAGCCTCACCTACTGGCGTATGCAGGTGTGTACATATGCACTAGTGTATGTTGATAAGGAAATACATAGCTAGGTGGGCTCCACACAGCCCAGAGCAGAACAGACATCGAATGCAGCATGGTTTCAGCTGCACAAAAGTGACTGTCAAAGTTGGAACTTGGTACAAAAAGTCTTTTCATGATTTGCAATGGATGCAGGTGGCATCGACCCACTGATACAGGGCATGGTGGCTGATCGTGCAAAACTGATGAAACAAAACCAGCTGCTCATTGAGGAGCTCCAGGAGGAGCTCCTTTTTGAACAGACAGAGATAATGGGTCTGGACTTAGCAGCCCTGAACTTGCAACAGGGAAGAGACCATGGCCTTCCAGGTAAGGAGACACAAGTCCACACGTCCTGTGAACAATACTCTTTTTTCCTTCTGCTGTTTATAGTAGCTCCATGAATGTACTAAGCTTTTTCCATACCAGTAGAAAGAAACAGTACCTTGATTTGAGAGGGAAGGATGGATAGGCAGTCAAGTTCAGGGAAGAAAAGGTCTCTGTTATAAAGATCTTCTGAGAAATACAAAAAGGTTGGAAAGCAAAGATGATAGTTGGAATAATGAATTAAAGAGAGGTAGAAACAACAGTGTTTGGCAAAGAGGCAGCATGTGGGATATAGCAGGTACAGATGAAAGCAAGCAAATTCAGCTTTCATGTGGGCTTGACAGACCATCCATGCTTTGTTCTTTGCCCATCAATATTTATTTCATGTCTTCAGATAACCCAGAGGTCTGAGCAGAAGTGGCCTGTACCCACAGGTATGATTGCCTCCAGGAGCTGAAGAAAAACTGCTGTTCTTGGGTTAAGAACAACCAAATGTTGCCCTTTTCTAGGACTTTGATCCTAGAAGTTTTGCCTCCCAAAACTGCAGGGACTGGTGCATTCACTCTCAGTGCTAGGTATGAGCCTGTAGCCACATGTGAAGACTATCCAAAACGTTAGTTTAGTGTGTGCGTACCACAAGGACCTTTGAAAACATGGCATTTGTTGTGACTGCCCCCATCCTTTAATGCCATGAGAAGAAGCAGACTTTGCTTATGGGCCAAAGTCTATTTAGTTTCCGAGCCTATGCGAGCGGTGGGGAGATGTGGGTCCTGATCCACTGGTGTTCCTGCTTTTGCAGGTTACAATGCCTGGAGGCGCTTCTGTGAGCTCTCTCAGCCTCAAAATGCAGATGAGCTCTCTGAGGTGCTAGGCAATTCCAAACTGGCTGAGAAGTTCATACAGTTGTATGGGACGCCAGGCAATGTTGACCTCTGGATTGGGGCAATCGCTGAGCCTGCTGTTCCCCAGGGCAGAGTTGGACTCCTGCGGGCCTGCATCATTGGCACCCAGTTCAGGAACTTGCGTGATGGGTACAGGTAGGTAACTCTGAGAGCAAACCTTCCCCGTGGCATTTATTATGAGAGAAAATGCTAACACTTTATGCAACACACTAATCCAGCCCATCTCCAAGACACCAGCGTGTGCTCCTAGCAAGGCTTGCACCTTGAATTGAGCCCAGTTGCCAAAGGGCTCTTTTTTTGCATCCCATTCCTATAGACCCATGTGGTTGAGGAGCACCAGCTCCAGGCCATGGGTAATCTGCGGTAGTCTTTGCCTGAAGTGACATTTGCTCTCATGGTACTAAAGGGGAGGATTGGTCACTGCATCCCAGCAGCCTGGTGACGCTGTGTGGAAGAGGCAGGGTGCCTGCCCTGGAAGAGGAGTGGCAGGATCCAGACCTGGCAACACCAGAGACACCTCTTCCCAAAGGGGCGTTCCTGCTGCACGATGAATCGAGGTGGATCTGAGCAGAGACTCACCTTGGTCAGGCTCCCATCCTGGCAAGTAACCGGCACCAAATGCCCTCAAGGAGACTGTAAGCTGCTTCTGAAAATATCATTGCAGATTCTGGTGGGAGAAGCCAGGAGTTTTCGCTACACCACAATTGCATGCACTGAGAAAAATCTTGCTGTCAATGGTGATCTGTGACAATACTCGTATCAAAAAGATACCCAGGGATGTGTTCAAGGTCAACAGTTGTCCTAAGAACTTCGTGGACTGCCATGAGATCAACACGCTTGACCTCTCACCCTGGAAAAGATGAGCCTGTGAGTGGCACAAAAAGTACGCAGTTGTCTGAGGTCTGCCAAAAATAACAAATGCCCTACAAGGTCAGACTCTTCCATGCCCAAAGAAATAAAAGAATTAAGGTATTCTCAGTGACTCTGCACCCAAAATTACTTTGATCTGCTCAGAGACCACTGGAGCCAGTGGTGCTGTTAGCTTGGTCTCCTTGCAACCCATCATCTTCTTCATCCCTTACTAGCCTGCCTCTTCCTCTGCAACTAGAAGGGAAATCCCTGAAAATCCAGTCTGCTGTGGCCCTTGTGAACATGTCCTTCTCTAAATACCTTATTGCAGGAAAAAATGGAGTCTTACTTCAAGAAGAGTGACCATGAAGAAATCAATCAGAATTAGCCAACCTTCTTCAAATTCTTACTTTGCTACTGCAAGCCCCTGCTCTCCCTTTGCCTTCCTTAAAGCTTTAAAGCATTTTAAGGTATATCTGGAGTTCTGACACTGTATGGCCTGACACACCAGTAGTTTAAAACACATGGTCAGAGATTATGATGTGCCACATCCTGAAAGACAGTAAAACAGTGTCTCCATATAAGAGATGTGGACACTACCTGTGTCCTCCTCCTGATATGTTTTTGTCATGGGCTCTCCCAGTTGAAAATGATGTGTGGAGAACAGAGACTTCCAGAAGACAGGTATAAGCAGAATAGACTGGCTTGAAATTTTCCTTCTGGTGACCCATTTTAGAGGTTATCACAATATCTGGGGATCATCTACTCCGTCCTGCAGAGACCACAAAGCGTCTCCATGTAGTTTCTATATTGAGTTTGATAAACTGTATTTGAGACAGACACTGCTGTTTAAGGAAGATATTTGCACTTGTTATAAAGGCTAAATTACAGTGACTTCACCCCATTCTTCAGGAACAGAGTCCAGCTGATACTCGTTTTCTCTCTCAACAACAGAGGCTTCCTGATTTCTTTTATTAACTTAGTGTTATGGTCACTAAAATTTGCTGAGCTGCTTCCTGTGGCTCTTTTATTACCAAGCTGGGAGGAAGTTGAACTGTGTTTGCATAACCCAGAAAGAGCGAAATCCCAGGATGTTAAAAAGTGACTGCTAAAAGTTTAACCTTTTCAAGTGCCAAGAAATTGCCCCAAAAATACCCATCCAAAAGACTGCCTGAAGTTAGGTCACTGGAGGTACCTTTTGACAAGGCTGTGTCTCAGAGATACAAGGATACAGGGGTGACCTGGTACTCAGTCGTCCATTCACCAGTGACTATTTTAAGCTTTGGAGTCAAATAAAAATGCAGGGAGAAATATTGTGTCCTGGAAAGACTTTCTATCTCAGTGGCTTTTTCTGCTTCATTGACAGTTTCTGATCCTGCTGGAAACTCTTAACCCTGGCCCTGAGCTGCTTCTGGGACTCAGCTGACGGCTCTGAACTGAATCTGCACGTAATGTCCCAGAGGGGAGCTCAGGACTGTCTCATTCGCTGTATGGTGATTTTTTATTTCATTCATTTGTAAAAGCTTCCAATAATGTAACATTTCAAACAGAAGGATAGTGACATTTTATTGCCTGTTGTCCTAAAAAAATGTTCAGAGTTGTGCAAGACTTGGTTAGGTACTGGATGCTTTACGACTCTCTAAAGACACAATCAAGACAAATTTTTTACTTCCCATCCTGAATGGGTGTCAAATCAAGAGGTTGGTGTGCTTGCATTCCAAAACCACATTCCTTATCCTTTGTACCTCATCAGAAATGAGCAAGTTCACATGATCTTTATCAAAACTTTTTTATTTCCTTGTTTTGCACAAAAGCACAGACTAATCAGACTGTTTCTGATTAGCAGCGATATTTCAGTCTTTGAAGACACTAGAGAATGGCAGCTGCATCTTGAAGCCTAGAGAGATCTTTTATTTAAACCTATAGTGAACATGTGTGTGTCTGGGAGTGCTGGGCAGTAATAAAATACGTTGTATGCACTCATCTACATTTGGCATCAACTCTGGTATGTCAAACATGCCCAAACATTCTTTGACTACAGTTCATAGCTAAATGTATCAGCATAAAAAAGCAAACCATAAGCTGGCTAGTATGTAAACCACAAGAATTAAGGCTAAAAATTAATCATCTGGCTGGGAAGATCACTCCCAAGATTGTATTAAGTCAATAAATACCAAACATGTAAGAATCATATTAAGTTTCGATCTCTCCTTGGCACAGTCTGGAGGAAAGGAGGGAACTGGGAGCAAGAAGGTAGCAGCCCAAGGTAGAGTCATGAGTGAAGCTTGTGAGTGGTGTGGGTGCCTCTCGGATGAGGACTAACGAAGGAGATGTTACTAAATCCCTCAGTCACAGCACCTCCATGCATGTTCTGCTGTGGGGTGGGTGCTGGCCAGTCACGGCCATCTCAGCCCAGTGCTCCTATGTTGCCCACCCACGCCTGGGGGCTGCAGGAGACCCCTTGGGCTGCCAGGGCCCCAGGTAAGCGATGGAGCACAGGGACTGTGCTGCTCCATGAGCCCCCAGCACCTGGGGAGTGGAGAAAGGCTGTGGTGACCCAGGGAAGCAGAAGACCTGTAGAAGACCAGGCGGTATTCAGAAATCAAGAGCTGCAGCTTCCAGAGTGTATTTGGACTGGAAAATATATAGGCTGTATTAAGAATCATGAGATTGTCAGGGCACAGCAAGGAAGTTAAGCAACACATTTCTGCTGTTTGCCTCCCTCTGGTTTCTGAGTCCCCAGCCATTTTCTCCTCACACTTTCATGATCTGCCCAGCCACTGAAAGCAAAGTCTTGCTTTGCTTAAAGGGAAGGCTAAGAAAAATGACGAAACCACCAACTTCTGCAGACACATGTAAGATCTTTAATCCCCCTCTCCCAAAGCTGCCTTGGTTTCCCCTCTCGTGGCAGAGGTACATCCCAGGTCCACCCCATGGGAGGAGGCAGGAGACGGTGTCTTCTCCTGAGTATGCTTCCAGGGGCATGTGGCAGCCCTCAAACCCCAGGACAGCCACTTCCCTGGGCAGGATGGCCATGGGCTTGGGGATAAATGCCTCCACCTTGTCGGTTTGGAACAGGAAAAGCTGATTATAAGATGCTCACAGGAAGGATGTGGCTCTGCCCAGGGTTCAGCTGGAGAGAAAGCCTCAGTGTTATGATTATAAAGAAATGTCCAGCCTGCCACCGTGTGTCTGTCCATGCAGGTGGCACTGTTTCCTGGAAGTAACATGACAACCATGTCACCACCTCCACGCACAAGCTTTTCTTCCTCTGTGGGTGTTTTGCCCATCTCTGTTATGTTAGGGTTGCAATCCATGTTTGTCTCTGCTTTCAGATCATCTCCTGCTTGCCATGCCCTCCCCTCCAGCTGCTGCAAACAGCTGGAGCTGGGAGATCGGGTTGCTAATGGGAATCTCCTTTTATCATTCCTGATATCCTCTGATAGGTGGTGAGCATGGAGTCATGGACCTGCTCGGTCAGCTTGGGAACATCTTCTGGTCCCAGGCCGAGGGTTTCCACTCCTGGCAGGATCTGGATGATGGTTTTTCCTGGAAGAGTGAGGCAGGAGGGTCAGAGATGGGGGAAGGAAATATGCAAATAGTGTAGAAGAACAAGAGAAGATACAGCAGCAGGATTGGTACAAATGAAGGAACAAGACAGAAATGAAGGGAAATGCCCTCTTTCACACACCAGCAGCAACCCAGCCATATCCCAGATGCACAAAGCAATAACTCAAACCAGAGTTTTCCTCATCCACAGAGACCACAAAAATCATAAATACAGAAATAGGTGGATTTCTCCCCAGATTCATTCAATTCAATGATTCATATTGAATAAGTTTTCACAGTGGAAAGACCTCAGGGTCTTCTGGATCATAGCAAAGAATGAGATGTCTGTAACACAACACACTCAAACTAGCTGTGCTCTGATCTACGTGTCCCTCCTTTCAGAAACACGCTTCAGGATGAGAGGAATTGCGCCCAAGACTCCCTGTTTGGCCAAGGTGTGTCCTAATCCTCTGGGACTGGTGCAAACAGGAAGGATACACTGGGGAGTTGTCATCATGCTCTGCTGCTCTCGCACACAGTGGCCCTGATTCTGGTCAGCAGACAAGACACTGCCTGCGCAGACACCACCCATGGATCTGGGGAGTGTCTGTGCTATTTATTTTAACTTTCATGCATGCCTTTACACGTGTGCTAGGAAATGAGATCCAGAAGAGTTGCTAGCAGAGCCATGCAAGGGAGGCAAAACAATGTGCTAGGAAATGAGATCCAGAAGTGCTGCTAGCAGAGCCATGCAAGGGAGGCAAAACAGAAGAGTAGAGAAGAGCTTCACAAAAGAGGAGAGCTCGCTCCCTGCCTACACATCTGGCATCAGAGAAGAGCTTCACGAAAGAAGAGAGCTCGCTCCCTGCCTACACATCTGGCATCGAGCTAGGCCTGGCATCTCAGGAGTCTACTGAGCTTCACCTGGGCCTACAGAAAAAGCTGAGCGATGACGGAGCTGTGCTGAAAGAAGGTCTGTTGGGGTGTAATAGACTTCCAGCAAGCACCAGACTTCTTCCACACATGACAGTGTGCACACACTGGACACAGAGCTGGGCTTTCCATGAGCTCATTGGCATGCCCAGAGCCACTGTGGATGTGGTGAGCTGTCCTGACCCAAGGATAAGCCTGCCCAACGTGCAAAAGTCTTGGCCATAGGTAGCACACCTTCAGAATCAGCCCTGGCAAACCTTGCAGGTGGGAAAAGTGGGGAGGCATGAGAAAAGCTAACTGTGGTTCTTCCTCCAGGAGTGAAGGTCCTACCTGTTAGGAAAAGGGCTTAGAAGTCAGCTAACCACAAACTCACAGGGTGAGGTTATCACAAAGGCAAATGTATATGCAACTGCAAATAATCTTTTCTAAAAAATCTCAGAGAGGTTGTGGAATCTCCTTCCTTTGAGTTACTCCAAACTTGGCTGGACAAGGTGCAGAGCAAACTCATTTATCTTTGGAGTTTGGGTTGCTT